TTTTTCTGTAGCTTTATCATAGTTTCTTGTATTGATAATAAATTGGCCTGCATGGTCTGTGTGTTCATCATGGAAGTTGTTTTATCTGTTGTAAGTATTCCTTCTATGGATCTTTTTGTAGATGGGGATGGTATTGCTGTAGTTGTTGCTGGGCTGGGTTTCTTCCAAGTCTTCACTACAGTTGTTGTAATGCTTGTCATTCCTTGTAGTATTCTATTTTGTTGTCCTAATATTCTTTCTATCTTCTCCCACAACACCATTCAATGTTCCCCTAATTTCTATCACTATCCTTATTCTACCATACAGTCTTCTGCTCTATATCTCATATTAAATCCCAATTGACTAAATGAATTTCAAAAGTTAATTAACCTATGCAGTTTTATGAATCAATCCCAATGTCCAGAGCCACACTTATATTAACTATTTACCAATATATTACTTCTAAATATTCTTGTATGTTTCTATTTGTTAATTCCTTAGTACTTTAAATTACTTTAATATTTTAAGTAATTAAATGTTTAAACAGTTGGTTATTTAACAATTAACTTATACAGTTAGATTCCTATCTCTAGTAGTCAATTTAAATTTATAAAATTACTATTCTATATTCCAGTATACCTTTAATAACAATAATACTTTACTAATAGAAGAAAACAAACAAATCCTAAATGGATCAGTCAATGTAATTCTTAGAGGATATCTACATTAAACTCTTTAACTTATATTGTAATATATTACTTAAACATTCACTTTCTTTCTATATATATATTATTCTTTACTCTAGTCACTATATGGTTCTATAATAATAAATATTTGAATATTTTATCATATAATATAAACAAAAAGGAGAGAGAGAAAAAAAAAGAAAAAAGAGAAGAATTTAATCACAGTATTTTTAAATATATAAGAATAAATATTATAACTACTGTTGTCCATTAATTTTAAGCAGAAATGTTTTAAAACTTTGCTTGAGTCTTACTGTAGTGTTGAAAGCTGTGGGTTTAAAGGGTTAACTTTTACTTCCCTCCTTCAAAATGTCCGGCTTTCTAATTTTGCACTGACACTGTCACTTTCCTTTTCTTTTTATCTGCTTCTTTGTTTCTTCTTCTGCTGCAGTAATGATATTCTTTTAAAAGGAATTCACAAATTTCAACCACTCCATTTTAATCAATCCACTTTCGCCTCCCGTCTTCTCTTAACTCGTACACAATCTGTTACTTTCTCTTCTTGTTTGTTCTTTCCTTCACTATTGCTGGCATTCTCTTTCATCCTCTCCCTTTTCCACTCTCCTCACTGTTTTCACTATCCAGGTGCCACTTTGAGCTTTCACTTTCACCGTCTCTCTCTAAGCTCGCTTTGGCAGTTCCAAGCTCCTCCGCTCTCACCGCTTATTTACCCTGTTCTCCCTCTTCACTTCCCTTTCCTATCTTGTGGGTCGTCTGGTCTCTGGATTGGCCATTAAAGATCCAATTCTTCAGCTCCAGCTTTGAGGGCTCCTCCGAACGCACCACTGGGGATCGCACCTTCCCTCTTCAGCTCCAAACTTTCCCCTCTCTTTCACCAATCCCCCCAGGACCGATTTCACCTCGGACAGCCACCAGAACCCTGAAACTCGGCAACGAGGAACAGAGTGCTGTCTCCCCATGCCACTTTGACCACAAGCCATCGCTAGAAGTCCCCATTTGTATTGCATTCAACTTATTTGTATGTTTTGCCTGACATAGTGTATATGCATCTTATTTTCAATTAATGACATTGGCAGAAATTCAACCATTTTCATTTCTTTTAACAAACATTTCTTCAATGTATTACATACTATTTTTGCATCTGAAGTGACACATTTTTTACTTTATTTATTTAAAAGATTCATATGGGTCTCCATCATAGAGCACAGAAAATATTTAATAACATCTTTTTTATAATTCCCATTGAGTTACCTCTATTCACCTCTGTGATATTCTGTAACATCTTTTCACTCTTGTCATCTTCTGCATTTATCTTGTGTCCTTATTTCATTCACTTTGTTAGGACACTCATCTGATGTTTTTATACAGAATTATACTTTCTCTTTCTGCAGTTATGCTGCTTTTATTCTGTTATCATGCAGTTTCATTATGCCCTTTGAGGAATATGCCCTACTAATTCCAAAAGTGGTGAAGCAGTGTACTTTGGCAACAATTGCTTTAATTACTTCATATATCTATTAACACAAGACATGCTAAGACCAGAATTTCATCATCTTTTTAAAGTCATTGGGCCTATTTAAATTCTGCTATACATAGATGATGCGGTCATCATTTTTATGTCTTGTGTGTGTCTTAGAAAGAGATAAAATAGAAATAACTGTATTTTGAAAAAGTTCTGCTATCATTTGTTAATATTAGCATAAACCGGGTGAAATTCTTTTAAATATTCTGGGTCTCTTTAAATATTAGCACATTCCTTTTGTCTACAGAAGCTGGTCTATCAAATTCTATCTTATAGTTTGAGAACTGGAATATCAATAAGCATGTGTTGGCAGCTGTTAAAATATATAAAATAAAGATAGAGCTACCTATACGTAAATTCTATTCTAGAACATTCAATCAAAATTTTCTAAAAGTTTTGTTGAGCATAACCCTACTGAGCATCCATTTATTTTTTCAGGCTGATTTCATTCAGCCACACATACATCTTGATTCCTTCAGCCATATTAAGGTCAACTTCACAATATAGTTTTAATATATCACATAGCTGAGCCATAAGAAATTAACCCCAAAGTGTATAAGAGATATACTTCCCCCTTCCTTAATAGAAGTGAAAGCTTCAGACACAATCTGTCCCCCATTTTTTATGCTGCTTCCTAATCAATCCTAGGAAAGTTAAGACCACTTCAGAGGTTCACTAGGGAGGCCACACTTAATTACCCCTAAGGATTTTAGTAGTTGGTACATTCCAACAACTCTCTGCCTGCTGAGATTCTTCCTAACCAAATTGCTCAAACTGAAGAAGCTACTTGGATAAGCAACAAAGCATTTTAATCTAACAAGAAAATAAGTTCAGTTGCCATGATTCAACTTCCAGACAATTCTACCTGGTGGCAGAATCTTCATTGACATACAAGAAATACAGCTATTGCTACAGCCATACAATTTTCATACAACTGAATATTCAAACACATTTTTGAAAAGTGCTCTTAATTAATTAACTTCTGTTTTAAAAAGTCAGCTGTGGGTTTGGGAGGGGGAATAAAAAATAAAGAAAATGCAAGGAATAATTCATAATGCCAGACAAAGAAATAAACAGTAATTTGAACAGTTTAGTTGTTTCTATAACTGTGCTATGGTTGAAATGCTAAAAGTTGGTGATCACAGTTTACACAAGATACTAGCAAAACAATATTCAAGAATCCTCAGAGAAGAAAAAATGTACCCAATGTATGGGAAAATATTCAAGTGATTCTTATCTAAGAAAGGTACCCAAGATGATTAAAGAAATATTGCCCAATAAGCTGTTTTTCGCCCATCTATAAGGTTTTCACCAAAATAATAGCAAAAAGAATACTGAGAAGATTAAATGATGCATAGCCAAAGGTGCAGGCAGGGTTCAGAAGTGACTAAGATACAATGGATCACATCCAGGTTGTTCAAGCAATTGAAAGGTACAGCGAGTACACCATGCCTCTATGCATGGCTTTCATTACTACAAAAAGGCATTTGACTCAGTATTCCAGCAAGCAATAATTAATGCATTGTTCAACCAAGGTGTAGACACTGCTGACATAAACTTACTACAATCAATATATGAAAAAAATGGCAACAATTTGCCTGACATTGCGTTAATGATTTTAAAGTGAAAATCAAATCAACATAGAATGAAGTATATGACAAGGAGATACAATATTACTCTCCTTTTCTCAGCCTGATTTGAAGAAGTATTTGGCAAATTAGATTGAAAAAAGATGGAATAAAAATCAATGGCACCTGTTTTAATAATTTAAGGTTTGCAGACGATGTTATTCTCTCCTCATAAAACCCAGAAGTCCTACAAAGACACACACAAGAGCTGCACAAAGCAAGACAACTATTTTGGCTTAAAAATAAACCTGAAAAAGAGCTAGCTTATGTTTAATAAAGTTACCAAAGGAAGAAATTATGTTATATCTAGACAACTACATATACCTAGGCCAAGTATCTCTATGGAAGATAGACATAAAGGAAATTGAATAGTGGGTAAAAGATGGTTGGCAGGCTTTCGGCAAACTAAGCATAATTTTCAAGAACAACATCCCCCTATGCTTGAAGAGAAATTTTTTCAATCAGTGTCTGCTAGCTGTTCTAACATATGCCAGTGAAACATGGGCACTAACCTCACAAGCATTATGAAAGCTACAAGTGGCACAAGAGCCATGGAATTAGGCATGTTTGGCATTGCAAGACAAGATAGAAAGACTTGCACATGGATTAGAGAACAAACAAAAGTATATTATATCATCAAGAGTAAAAGAACTGAAATGGAAATAGGTTTGTCACATAGCAAGAAGAACTGATGGCAGGTGGACCAAGGCAGTCATCCCACTTGATAAAAATCATCCACAAAAGAGACCTAAAACAAAATGGATTGACATCATCAGCAAGTATTGCATGCCCAATTCGCAAAAGAAAATCCACACCATATTGGTTTGTAACATGTGGAAGAGGCCTTCATCCAGCAGTGGATAGACAATGGCTAAAATGATGATGATTATTGGTGACCATTTGACCAGCACCAAATAGAAACAATTATTCTATCCCAAGAGATTTCTGCCAAAAGAGATCAATTTCCCCCTGTATTATGTTTTTCTTTTATTTTCTAAATAAATCTGATATTTTCATGCCTGGGACTTTTTCTTGGAATGCAGGCTTATGTAAATTTAAATCAGAAAGTTTGTCAAAAAATGCAGTTTCTCATGTTTATTTATTAAACCTGAAATAGGTAATTGCAAATATTTAAAACTGCATCACAATGTAATAAATTCTGAACCCTCTAAGGATTGAACTCCAAGCCATGGGAGAGTTTGCCTGCAATACTACATTTAATCACTGTCCCACAAGGCTCTTCAGGATAAGAGTTATTCTTTGTTGCTCTTTATAATAAAGATGCATGTGGGTTTGTATATGCATAGTTTGTATGCAAATACCTGCATACTACTCTCTGTTCTGTTTAATTCCCCATAAAAATCATTATTTAAAAAATGATAAATATAAGATAAATAATGATAAATATAATATACAACTATATAATATATAGTTTTATGCAACTATATCTATTCCTTATTCAGCAATCAAATTTTCTTTCAACTATCAGGTTGTTAAGTGAAATTGTTGTTAACCAAACCATATTACAGAGAAAAAGAGGGGGAGAGAGGGAGGAAGGGAGGGAGGGAGCAGGGAGGGAAAGAGAAAGTGAGTGAAAGAACATTTGCTTGCTAACAACTCATTCAAATATGCCAGCATTACTCTCATTTCTAGATGTCAGGCACATAAAATTTGATTGTAAATGTGAGCACTGGTTAGAAAATGAATTTGGAAATGCTGCTAAATGAAGTAGTCATAAATAAATAATGGGCATATTTTATTTGTCATGATTCAACTTTTTTTATGCTAATTCCTTTGATGTAGCTATTTATCCTATTAAATATAAACTTTCCTTAGTATATTTAGATCAATTGAAATTAGCTCTAAAGCATTTTAAAAGTAACATTCTTAAATATATCATTAGTGTTTATGCAGCTTTATCAAAATGCTGGCTCTTCACAACAGTTTACAGTTTACTCTCCCCACCCCATTCCTGATCCTGCCTTTCTGCCCCCAAACAGGCAGTTAGGCTATTTTCCTCCTCCACCCCAATTCCTGATCCTGCCTTTCGGCCACCAAGATGGCGGTGCATTCACACGCAGCGGCCCCGAGCTCCTGGTATTAGTATGTGGTGTTTGGAATGTGTATCGATGTGTGTGCACAGTGTACAGCAAGAAGCAAAATTTAGCTACACATGCGAAGAGCTGCTAAACATCAGGCTTGCAAGTCAATCTGGAATTAGCAGCAATTTTCAGCAGTCCCACAACTTACCGAACTGCATAGCGAGGCTTCCAGGATCTCCATGGATTGTCATCGGGTTGGGGAGGTGCTGATGAAAGCAAAAGGAGTGGAAACAAAAGCATGGCTGTAGAGCTGGTCTGTTGCCTCAGCTCTGAAAACAGCCCCATAGACTAGCACTGACAAGAGTCTTTTTGAGCAATGCCAGATCCCTCAACCACAAAATTGATGAATTAGAGCTGCAGATGGCAGCAAGCAGGCTTCTTCACGAAAGCTTTGTGATGATTGTAACAGAGACTTGGCTACACTCAGCTGTTGTGATTGGAAGGATCGGTCCTGTTGGGAGTTTTGACTCTGATG